CCCGCTTGTACAGGATGCGCCCCGGCAGCAATACTGAATATTGTATCTTGGCCCTATACTACCATGACCAGACCATCAAACCTTTTGTCTCTTTTCACATGATTAAATCTTCTGGGCTCCCGGTCTATTGCCCTGCATGCGTGACTTCAACATACTCAATACGGCCCGTTACCAATTGTTGATTTTGATATTTTCCAAAAAGCATAATCTGGGAACCAAATTGGTCGCTGCCAATTTCTTCACCAAATCGGCCCTGGAAGCATGTCTGAGTTGCAAATTGGTCTACAAAAGTTAACAATCAGACATTAGAAAACAATTTGTTTTAAATGTATAATATAGTGTTTAATATTTATTTGATTCCTTTACTTACATGGCCAAAGATAATCAATATAGCAACTTAATCACTGTGCTATTTAGATAGGTGGCCAGCCCTTCACATGGCAAAATATTATACACGTGTTATATAGAATACATTAGGACTACTGTGAGAGTGTATTGTAAGATCCAAAAAGTAAAATGCTTACTAGTATCGAACTCGGCATTACAAGCTTCAATGTCTTCCGTCCATTCATCTTGAACAGAACCACGAACAACAACATTACGAGTTAAAACGCCAACTTCAGCCTTTGTAGATAGAAACACGCCATCAATCGTTTGCTCCAATGATATGTGAGTATACTTCAATGGCGGTTCAATAGTAAGTGTCAAGCCATCGTTTGATATTCCTAAAAATGTTCAAATGAAAAAAAAAATGCATATACATGATTAGCCATTAAATATAAAAACATTAATAATTGTTAATGATTCGTTTCAAAATTTGAGCGATAAATCTGACCGGTTGTTTCAACACTTTCATTAGAGATAGAAATGTTACAAATACGTCTCTCAAATATACTATACTACTCTACACTTCGACCTTTATTTGAAAACGAAAATTAATTCATCAGTTCTGTATAGGCCTAATATAATTATTCTTACCTGTAATTGTTAGCATTTCATTCTCATTTTGGCTATGTCTATGACCAGTGGATGCAATAGCAATCTTATCCCCTACATTCCATGTCACAGATTCTTCAAGAACCAGTGTTGTATCTCCAGCTTCTGCGGTTTCAGCCAGGTGTGTCCATGTAATAGGTATCGGGATCCCTTAATGTGGTTAAAAACAGAATCATTATAGGCTTTTTTCAATGCATTTAGTGCAAGCAGAGTGTAAAAATATGTTTCAAATATTGGGTGGGGTATTTTTAGCAAACAAAAAGTTATGTGAGTTTAAGTCACTTGGTCTGTGCACTCTAGCTTATTTAATTTTATCTTTTCAGGTCTGAGAATGCAAGGGTACCTTGTAGGACGTGAACACTTAATTGTTTAGTCTATTTGATTAGCATTATCTTCTTGTTACTTCTTGCGTTTCTTTTATTATAATTATGATTGTTTTAGAACAGATTTAAATTTATCAAATTATATATTTAGTTTAATTAGAAATAATTTGTTTATACTTTTTTCACATTCGAAAGATCTGTTTACTAAATATCTTGATGATACTAAACATGAAGTAAAGCTACAGTAATAGTAATCTGATGTTAAAATAATTAAATTAGTAGTTACCATGTAAATCTAATGTTCCGTTTCTGACGGCTAACGTCTTTGCACCGTACAAAGGAATCTCTATTGATCTTTGATGTCCATGCATCATGATTGTAGCTTTATGTTGGAATGGATCAGCTTCAGTTCCTACCTGAAGCAATCCACCATCCATTATGAGGATGTTTTCTGCATGTAGCTCAATGTTCGCTTCATCAAATATCAAACTGCCTCCTACATAATTTTAAAAAATATACAGTATTTTGATAAAACAATTTTTTTGAACGAAAATTATTGTTATAACGATAATGACGATTATTACAAATGCAAAAGTAGGATGCTCATAGTTAACATACCTGCTATTAGAAGAAATGCAAGTATTGGCGTGTCCACATCCAAAAGGATGGTTTGTCCAGCTTGAACTGCGACAAATTCACCCTCAATTGGCGGGTCCTTTCCTTTCCAAGTCCATCTTGACGACCACACGTCAACATAGTAAAACTCCGCATTTTCCTATGAATTATGTCAGCAAATTCTGTCAACCAACTTATTGATCATATATGTATTTTAAACATAAAAGTTGAATGTTTATACTACAATAAAATAATGGAATCGCGCTACAATGATAATGTCCTAAGCGTTCGTTTACAAAAACCAAGCCTTTTCAATTTTGCAACACTTTTTATGGGATGCCATTTTGCCCTGAATTTAAACAATGGTAGTGATGACGATGATGGTGACGGCAGTAACAACAGCGATGGTGATGTATAATGATATGATGTTGTTGATGGTAATTAAGATGATGATGATGATGATGATAATTTGGTGATTATTAAAAAGTCGGTATTTATTTATTTGCGGGGGGGGTCTCATATGGCATACCTACATCAATAAAATTTTACATATATAAATAATATCGTAATAAAAAAAATGATACCTGTGTTGCAATGTTGTCTTCATCGTCTACCACAACTCTGACTTTTGTTTTGACTGAGCCTTGATGAGCTTCTGTTGTGCATTCGATCATGGTGCTTGATTCGGAAGAAATAGTACACTCGGAACCATCGATGGTTACCATGTTACCGGAAGATCTACATTACGTAAAATATACATATATAATAATAAATAATGCAATAATCAGTTACTGTACTATACATTTGCATTTGTCAACCAAAAATTGAAATTGGATAAATTTCGTCAATGAATAGAGGTCAGAAACATTTTAAGATCACGAAATAAATATAAAGAGAGATGAAAATACTAAAAAGTGCAGTGCAGTAAAACTGTATATATATTTATTGCAGATTATTCATTGTTTATTCACAATAACAAGTGATATACTTAATGTAAGACACACCTCATTTTTAATTACTCGTTTTTAATTGGCTAGTTATAACTTTGATTTTAATTTTATTGGTCGGTTTTTATTTGCTTTCTTTTATACTTCTGTAAATATTGTAAACATATATGGATGGGTGGGATTTTCTCATCAGTATTCGTGAAAATGATCAAATAGATCGAAACGTTGAATTCAAAATGTCTCTGTCTCTTTTCGGAGTTACTGTCTTTTTGTTTTATTTAAGACTAATTAGTGGATGTTTTTTACCAATTACAAGTAACTGATATTAGTACTTCTACTTCCTGCCCACATAAATGCCGAAATGATAAAATACTAGGCCATTCAGTTATGTTATATTCTATTCATTCATCATTTTAACAAGGAATAATCAGTGAGTACCTAAAACCAGAGCCTGTGATTACAAGTTCAGTACCACCTCCTGTTCCTCCTCTTGCAGGAGTAACAGAGTCAATGGTCGCCGTCAATGATGCATCGTAAGAAAAAGAACCAGAAGAAGTAACATTGGTGTCATCACTGACAGCTACAACGATGTCGCAGTTTAAAGGAGAACTATCTGCAATATGATAAATGGTGGTTGATGACTATTATACTTAAGCCGAGGCAATATTCAATGATTAATTCTTTATTACTGAAAATCAATTAAAAGTAAACATATAAATGGTACACACACATCAATTATAGCAAAATTATAGAGGGTCATGCAAACCAGGCTCACTTCGTACCTCGAACTGGATTACCATTACTGCCCCAACAAGGAAATTGCAATTATGGGGCAAATCTTCTGGATAGAAATGAGTTATTAATTGTCTGTATCGTTATTATGCTGGACATTTTTAATATCCCAGCCCCTCTTTGTTTGACGGAGTGCCTTTGTATCTTTAATATAGCATCCGACCAGTAGTATGACTCAAGGATTGACAAAGACAGATCGCAGATTGAAGTCCGGCCAGTTATTATTATTATTATTATTTTTAAATTATACAGCCCTTGGCGAAACTGTTGTGGTTTGCGTCTGGAGCTGTCCTTATGCAGGAGAATTAATATATCGACGTTTATTTCTCTTTACCCATTAGTATAAATCGGTACCTGTGCAGAAGGAACTGACCCCTCCTCCACAGCCTTGTACAGTCTGGCTAAAACGCCATAAGGAAGAGAGGGAGACGGGAACTATAGTCTGTAAGGCCAGTGCTTCAGGTTACTTTTACCCATTTTTTAAGGAAGAATGGGAAATTTTTAGCTAAAGAATCGTTTTTCCTGGTTTTTAAAATATATATTAGTTGATGCCATTCTAATAATCTCTTAAAAGAATATAAAACCAAAAATAATAATAACAATAATAATAATAATAATAAAATAAATCATGGAATGAAAAACACATTCTTAATATTAAAAGTGTCATAATACTTCCATTTGCCTTGATGAGGGCAGCATGATATTGTAGATTAATCTCCGATATAAACTATTCGGAAATATCCATATAAAGCTCCCAACTCAACAAACGTAATCCAGTGAAAAGATTACTGACTTGCTTCATTTCACAAACATTATTAAACTGATAAGAATCAAAATGAGAATCTGGTGTATAAGGTTTAAAAAAAGCCAATCATGTTCCATTCAATTTCAGGCTTTTAGCCAAATGAATCACATCGTTTAACCTAGAAAATTTAACCAGTTTTTAAGTGAACGCCTCCACTAGATTACCTTAATATATTTTAAGATTATAGTAATCTAAATCACTGGCCATAAGTTAATTCTGAACCAGACTAACATTTTCTACATGAATGTATATTTGAGGTACAGAATGTAGGCTAAAAAATAATGACAAAAGTTAACAGCTTATACAATAAAATCAGATTATTATTATTATTATTATTATTATTATTATTATTATTCTTTCTTTAGGCACACAACACATGTGCCAAGGATTGCCAATATCGAATATATATCACTGTCCTACTTGTAGGTGACAGTCCCTTACACAAGACAAACATACGCACACGATGCTTTACACAAACTAAATCTCAATATGAAATTTAGGGAGTGGAGTTGTTTATGTCGTGAGAAAAAATCCTGCAACTGGCAGGAATTGAACCCTGGGATTGGAAGGCAAGCATCTCAACCACCAAGCTATTCAACTCCACTCAGATGTGATATCAGTAATCTATATTATATAAATGCTGCTACTCTTTTGTTGGGCTGAATATATGTTACAATAACGGTCTTACCGATGTTTTCGTTGGCAGGCAATACACATTGGAGGGTAGTGAACGTTCCGGATTTCACTTCACAAGGATTACCACAAACGGTAACTATTGTACTAACACCATTGAAACCAGATCCAGTAATGTTCAAGTTTTTCTGCCCGGCAAAACTACCTGTTAAATAAAAGAGTGTTTATTACATTTTTACATTTTAAACTTGAAATTCTTCTGTTATTTTCAACTTATAAATATTAAATACAAAATATATCTTCTTAAAGTAACATACCATCTACTGGACTGCTGCCTGTAATAGCAAGATTGTACTCAAATGTTTCTTCAGATGCAGCAATTCCAAAATTGTAGACGGTAACATCAACCACATAGACACCAGCTACATGGGAAGGAACTTCACATCGAATCTCTGTTGATGAAACAGAAACCACCGTGCACATTTCATCATCGATCATCACCTGCACGTCTGATACCTCGCTTCCAAAATCTGAACCAGCTATCGTGATGATATCACCAGATTCACCTGATGATGGTGTGACAGATGATACTTCTGGTGTATAGTCATTTGAATACTCATACGACAGAGAGTTGAATTCATGTTCATTTGATGTCACAATGACATTAACCTCTTCAGAGCCATGGTTGTCAGTAATGCAAATGATGGTGGATACATTCACAGAGGTGATGAGGCAGTCTTTGTTGTCAAATCTGACAGAGGTGGTACCCACATGGAAGCCACTGCCGTTTATAGTGATCTCAGTTCCACCCTTTCTGCTGCCTAGAGCTGGACTTAAACTATAAGTTTCTGGACTTCCCCAGATTGTATCTTGACCATTCAATTGTGCCAGTCCATATCCTTCGAGATAGACTTCAACAGACAAAGTTCCAAATGCAACGTAGCCAACATCGCAGTTAATTTCTGTATCTGTAACAGTTTCAACAATGCAAGAAATTCCACCAATTGTGACTATGACATCATTAGCATTGCTTCTAAATTTTTCACCAGTAATAGTAATTGTAGTCGATGAACCGCTTATACTCAATGGAGTAAAGTTTTCTACTACTGGTGTACTTGTGTTGAAGTATGTAAATGTGACATCCTCTTCCAATGATTCTCGATTATTTATAGTCACTTTGATGGGAAATTCAGCTGCATCAACCGATTGTGGGGGAGTAGTGCAGGTTATCATAGTGTAAGTAAAGGATTCTACAACGCAAGTTCGCCCTTCTCCAATTGTCACTCTCAGATCATCTGCAGTAGCTGCAGAAAACCCATCACCAGAAATGGTCAACCTTGTGCCACCAGCTAGTGATCCCCTAGTAGGGGTGACAGAGGATATACTTGGGATAAGAATAAAACTCCTATTTCTTGGCGTTTCGATTGAATTCAAAGCGAAGCCTTGGTTCTTTACATTTATAGATATTTCATGAATGTAACCAACTTCAAGTGAATCTTCAGTTTCAATTATGCATTCTATAGATGTTTTTGTGCTTGTAGTTACGCTGCACATATGTGATCCAACGTAAACCTTATTTTCACAGGCTCGATTACTAAAACCGGATCCAGATATTGTAATAGTGGAATTAGCTGGACCAGACAGTGGCTCAACCTTTTCAATGACTGCTGTACTACACAACCAGAATGCATAGCAAAATGTTGTGAGCGAATTGCAAATAGGACGATTGTCATTACAAGATGAGATTTGGTCATCATCGCCTGGACAAGAATTGCTATCAGTAGGAGCCCTAGGGTTTGCAGATTTGTTGTGACGTGCATTTATATTATTCATAGAAACTTCTATGACCTCACTTGTAGAGCGGTGCGGGAAAACATTAACAATACCCAATAAGTATACTTTGTCTTCATCAGATACGTCGGCATTTACTGGTCCACTTGAATAAAAGTACGTTCCCTCGGATGCAAATGTGTACGAGTAAGAACCTTTTGAGAGAATTATATAAATCATATTTATCAAATCATTTATTAGTATTAAAAAGATATAATTATAAGTAAGTAGTTCAATTTAAAGGTAATTCAGATTTTTACATATTATGTGACATTATGACCTATTGTCAGACAATGACTGGGTTGCCAGATGTTGAATATTTCTAATTTATTAAGCCACCCTCTACCAATAGTTTCAAAACGTCAGTTACAGTTCATATAATCTCTGATTTACTCATAAAACTTTATGAATTACCTATATTTCATTTGCAAATTAAGATCCGATGAGAGCAGATATGTATGTAAATCAACAATAACCTTTTACCAGGCCCATATCCAGCTTTTTGAATGGGAGGTGCGTTTTGCGAGCGCAGCGAGCAAGCAGGCTGGGGGCCAGGGGCCGCCCAGGGCCCCGGGCCGAATGCCCCGTAAAAATTTGCTTTCTTACGCCCTAGTAGACTAATTTGAAGGCATTTTATCATTATTATTATTATTATATGTCCGTGAACACAGCGATAGGGCCTATCCAATTACCAGTGGAGGACATGGAGAAACAAGCAAATTGTTTCCCAAATGAAAAATACTGCTGTATAAATTCGTAATCATTACGAATAAAAATTCAAAATCAATTCTGTATTAAATGATTAATAGCAAAGTTTGATATAAAGAGTGGATTAAATGCGACTGTAAATGAGCTGATTTAAACAACTAGAAGCCTTTGAAACAAATTAATCAACATTTTTATTCTTAGCATCGACAGAAAACATATACAGAGGTATAAGCATAATTATACTGTATAATAAACACGCGCCTTCCTCGAGTCGAAAATCTGTCCAGATTTCCCTATTTCTTTTATTTTATAAATGATTTTCAACTGGCTAAATAATTATCTTTAATATTAGGTCTATTTCTATTTCTATTATTCGTGGGTTGACAAAGTCAAAGGACAACATATTAAAATCAATCTATACCTTCAGGACAACCGTGGTCTGGGTTTTCATCTTTCTTTTGGTTCGCATACTGTTCTTCTAAATCGCGTGGTAGGCATTCATTTCTATCTTCACGGTATTTTTTGTTGACCCAGCCATCCAATGTTTGGAAAGATTTTGCAACAGCTTTTCGCTTTTTAATTTCCTGCTCCTTTCTCCCCATTTTTTAACACGTGCGCGCTCCAGCGTCGAGTATACTCGTCTCAGGGTATTTCTGAGAGCGCTAGGAACTATTATACTTGTCTAAACCGGGGTGTCATTCTAGCATTTTAAATTCATTGCTATACACTGACATACCGGTTGGTAGTTAGGGGAAGATACACCTAGACGATAACGTGCATATAACGTGTGTGTGTTTGTGGTGTTATGTTGCTGGCAGTACAAAAGATTGCGCGTGTGGAGTCAGCGCTCTAGTATTCTTATTGTAACTCATTTGTACATTCATAAATCTTAATACTGTATTGTTATGTGATTCATTTTATAATGATTCTGGGAACAAGGTCACATTTTTTTGGTTATAATTAGTGCAAGTTTTTCGATTTGGGGGTGGGGTGCGTACGCACCCAACGCACTGGATACGGGCCTGTTTACCGTAATAAAATCAAATTGTTTACCACTCTTTGAGCGCTCTCCTGCATAAAACCCTTGTCCATCATATTCAACTGAGTCTTCATTTGCTGTCTGTTGAATGGTTAAGCCAATACTTTTAACCAAAGCTGGTGTAGACCACTGCCAGTTGACAACATCACCAACCATTATATCCAGGTTAGGAGAAGTCCATTTGTAACCAACACCAAACTCTTATTAAAGAATATGAAGAACTAAATTAACATTCAATCTTTGAAAATTTCATGTTTTTGCTTTATTATGTGTTTATGTGTCTGATTCACCAAAGGATCATGTGTTTACCTTTAGATGATAATTGATTTTTTATATTCTTTTTAGATAGAGTAATTTCTTTAGTTAGAAAGTGTATTGTTTTATAACTGAGACAAACCATGCATATATTATGATAATTTTAATAAAACGACTTAAGCTAACTTGGAGGCGTACTTTTTGGTCAGACAGAAAACCACAACTTGTCTGGGAGAAAAAAAAATCCATGTAAATTCTAAAGTTCAATGGACCCTTAAATTGATTGAATATACATTATAAATTTACTTAAATTGTCAGAGCTTTCAAGGCTTCGCCCCATGGCCCCATTCTGCTAGTCCGGGACTAATGGCCACACCCACTTTCTCTCGTGACAGAATCGGGACACAGGGGACATCGGAGCCTTTCTTGAACAAACGGTGGTGTTAATGATTCATTAGCTACTCAATTATTTGTCAGTTGATAAAATCGGTAAAATGTAACAATAATATCTGTTTTAATTTATGAGGTGGGAACACCGAGGATAACCCACAATTCAATTTAATTTAATTCAATTTAATTTTGATTAAATCTGATTTTATTTTAAATAAAATTTTTAATGAAAATACATAATTTGCATAATATAAAAAATTGCACATATATTAAAAAGTGAATATATACAAATGGTTAAGAAAATATAAAAACATTCAAATTCATGATAATGAATTACAGAAATCACAATGCACATTTATTTTAAATTAAGTAGGCCTATATAAAAATGGTACAGTACTATAAAAAGGAAAATGGAGATTTAGAAAAATTATTTCAAAAAAAATTTCACAAATGATATACAATAAAAAATAAATAAAAAAAAAGGGAACATTACAGAAAAAAATAACAGGACACTAAACATTTAAAAAAAGAAACTACGAAGACTTATTTCCAGGGGTCCCTCTGGCGGTTATTGGGCAATACACCGGGTGACAACCCTCTACTTTTTTCCGAATAATGCAAGTCTACTGTATTTTTTAACGTGCACATGAGCCATAATTGCACAGGACCAACGGCTTTTAAAACGTCTCATTCGAAAGACGGTGCGCTTTTCTATACAGTACTTGCATTTCAGCCCACTAGCTGAAACATAAGGAGAGCAGCTGATACAACTGAATCGGGTACCAAACTATCTTCACGGTTCAGTGCACATACAGAGCGGCAATACCAGTTTAGCCAAGGACTTATAAATTTTACAGTAACAGTTGTAAGTCCTTGGTTTAGCCGACTAATGCTGCTCTCGAGTCTCAGCAGTAGTAGGTCTTAATTATTACTATGTACTGTATGTCTACCTTCATGTTTTCCTTGGTTTGTCACCTCATGAACAGTGCCGCTACTGCCACTTATACACTCGATCAGTTCATCCTCAACAGACATCACTTTACATGGGACATGCCCAAAGTTAACATCAACCAAAGAAGCATTAGAGCCAAACCCTGAACCTGTGATAAACACTTTCGTGCCACCTTGAAGAGAGCCGTGATCTGGAAATATACCTGTAACTTCAAAGTCATAGGTGATAGTCTGGTCGCTGATGATAAAAATAGTATAATTAATTATTATCATAAATTGTTATATTCATAATTATTACCATCATCATAACTATCATCATCATCATCATTATAATAATAAATATACTCATCATCACCACCACCATCACCATTTATTTTTAGGGTAACATAAACAGGAGAAGTAGCTTACCCCTGTGCATTGCCAACTCCGGGTATATATACTATAACATTATAAGTACCAGGTGCATTAGCAGGAATGGTACACTCGATCAGTGTGTTGCCATTGGATATTAATGCACAATCATTACCATTGATAGACACAACAGGAGCATCAGAACCAAAATTATTACCAGTGATTGCAAGTACATCACCACCTTAACATAAAAAACGAAAGATGGTCATAGTATAAATCAATTTATGCTGATTTAAGGGTTCAATGTTTCAGCATCATTATGATGAATGGTATCTGTGAACACAGTTTTATCGTGCTGTTTCTTTTCAATTTAGTGTTAGATTACTATGCTTTAGTGTTAGATTTTTATGCTTTTTGTAGAATGATGTAAACATGGGACTATAGGAAATATAAAACGTTATTATTACATGGACGAACGTTGCAAACGGTGTGATTACAGCATAACGTATTAATAATATAATGTGAGATTATTTAGCTGGGAGGCCCCTATCCTACCTCAGCTCAATGACGTGGCAAATTATTACTTAATTTTCTCCCTATACAGTCACCTTTTACATGATTCATGTTACAGTTTTGCTTACAATCTGTTAGCGAGAATCTATGTGACTAACATTGAATTAATTCATCTGGCTTCTTAATGTAATTGGATGATAGTTCAAGACAAAATTAATCCTAATTAATCATGTGGTGTAATATATGAATTAGAATGCACCTATTCTCCAAATCGACCTTTAAAAACGAATAAAATAAAAGAATAACAGGACATGAAACTGACGCTGGCATATTTTTTTTAGTCAAAGATATTCCACAAATCGACAACAACTGACCATGCTGTCTCTCCCAAACTTAACATCAACTGGGAAATCAAAATCGTCTAACGGGAACCCAATGTAATTAAAAGAAAAATTAAAGAAGTGATACAAATAAGGAAAAGACATAACACAATGAACAGTGGTCTCCCCAACATATACAATGACATCATTGGCATCCCGACCCGTAGCCAAGGAGATCGTCTGTCATCAATATTGACAGATAGAGATGTACGAAAGTACGTACGTCACAATTATGTGACGTCATATTTAGTTCAATCAACTCAACAGTAACATCATTTGAAAAGGAGATTAAATTAATCTCGAAACGTCCTGAGTAAGTTTACTTTAATTTCTTATTATTATTATTTGGCTTAACACAAACGAACTATCATCCAATCTATATGAATATTTAAATACGTTATATCAACACCACAAAATAGCTAGATATTAATTAAAGAAAATTAAATCTGCCCAGTTTAAAATGGTTGTATTCTATTTCTTTCAAAAACACTAACCTATAACATTGCTTGTTGTTTGATTCAGTGAAGTTATAGTCGCTGCCAATGAACTGTCCTCCGTAAATGAATTCGGACTGGTTACGACTTGTCCTCTCCGTGCAACAGAAACATCTAGTTCGTTGGTTGAACGTCGTCTGCGGCGTACCTGCAATAAAGAACATGTAGGAAACAGAAAAGATTAAAACTGATCAAGACTTTTCCTCTCCGTCCAATTGTCATTCACGTCTAGTTTATTATGTCCAACGCGCACAGCGACCTGCCTGCATTAAAGAACAGATATATAAAGGGTATACACACATATTGGGAGACAATCCTCAAGTTATCTAAACTTAACTCATCTATATGAACACTATCATAACTTAATTATTGGATAATAAAGACAATGTAAAATATTTTTCAGAGTATTTTACTATGAATTATTTCCGGTCGGTATCCTTATCCATAATTTGGAATGGTTTTGTAATATTGGTTTCATTGTTTCAATAAGAATAGGCAGGACTTATCGTCCGTTTCTTTATATATTATTATTATTTAATAGTACATAATAATAATCATTGTCGTCTAGTTTGCTGCATAAAATATACCAACGAATACCATTGATGTTTGGAAACCAAACCGTTCCCGCTGCGCCAAACCGCTTCCGCCTAAGGTAGAATCGTTATTTATAGGCTCTTACCACAATGCCTCTATTTTTGTTTAAGTACGCAACATTATTGGTTTTAATACAAATAATAACAAAAGGCAACAATATAATAAATAATAAGCCAAAGAACACTGTAACAACCATTACAACATTTTGAAGAACAATGATCTGAGTTTAGGCTGTAATTATTTGTGAATATACAACACATAAAACAAGGTTGGCTGGAATTGAAACTCTCTATAAGTAGTACACTGTTATGTTTACTGTTGAAAAACAGAGGTTATCATCAAAGATAAGAAATAATAGACATGATAATTACAAAAAAAAAAACATTTTTAGATTTATAATTACCTGTTCATGAGTAATTGTACATTGAAGTTCATTGAATGTGGATTCTGTCACTATGCACTCTTTACTGCCTATATACACTTCCATAAGATTAGGATCTTTGCTAAAACCATACCCAACAATCGTCACCTTCGTCCCTCCTGCAACAATAAAAATACTTTTTTTTTTTATCTAATACTATCATTATCCTGGAACAGTAATTGTTTTCCAATTATTCATTATGTTATCTAATTTAAATTGATACCGATAAAGTTTTGCTAGTGGTATTATCATGTTTAGTATAATAAACAACATTTATCAATTAAACTTTCATAATTTTTACCATCATTGTCATAATAATTCGTTTATTTCCTCGAACATTTTAAAGAAAGAAGAAGGCGGGGATGGTCAGGATTCTTTTTTAGTTGTTTCTTTTTTTCTTTTTTTTCTTCTTTTTTTTACAAGAATTTTTATTTTATTTTATGTATTTATTTGCAATTGTTTATCTCTGGTTATTGCATGGGATTTGTTTTGTTGTGCAGTAATCTTGTATGTATGAGACGCTGAATAAAAGAATCTGAATCTGAATTTGAACACGGTCGCTGTACGAGGTATGAGAGCTCCAAACACAAGATAGAAGGACAAAAACAATAGTATTCAAACACACACCCACAGAGAAACAGTAATTTTAATCCATAAATTTGATATAATTTAATTTAAAGATGTTAGTTTTATATATTCTTTAAAAAGTCATTTTAAATGTAAGTACTGTACTGTAATAAAAAGGAGAATTGAAACAGGTCAATGAAAAACAACACAATCGATTTTGTGCTAGTAGTATAAAGAAAAAACACTAATGAAAGTAAAGAAGTAAAGTGATGTAATGAACTTCAACTATAAGATTCTCATCATTATTTATAATAATATCAACATTTCAATCTGTCTCTGAGCAGCAAGACACGTTATCTACGTTACTTTAGTCTACCTACCTGTACTAATGGCACCCCCAAAATTGCTTGGCGTTGCCCCACCCCCTGCAATGGAATAGCGTTCCATCCAGGAAGAGCCTGTTTCATCTGTTTCATGCTATAGAAACTCGGAATAATCTATATTTGTTTTTAGCCCTAATGACTCCTTAAATAAAGTAGTTTTTTATATCAATTATACATAAGTTATCAGTATTAGGCAATAGGCCAATTGGCAATATCCCCACATTTAAAGCACATTGCATTCGCAGTTTAAGCGCCATTAGCGTCATATATTGTGGATACCGGCGCTTTTTATAAATGTTCTATTCTAATTCTAATTATAATAACTAAGAGCACACAACATGTACACTCAAATGTTACTGTGATCCACAGTGACGCACACATGAATAGAATAAGACAAACTTACCAGCAGGGCTACCAGATGTAGGTGTAATGGATACAAATCCAAGTGAATAGTTAAAAGATACATCAACTGCAAAATAAGCAATGTCAATTATGTGTGTGTATGCTGTGTGTGTAAGTTCGTGTGTTATCTTTTTTATTGTTCTAAGTCTCCTATGTAATACTCTAGTACTTCAAAGCTGATACTTCGACAACGGACTTACTTACTTCATGAGCAAAATAAATACAAATTATCAAATTCAAAATAAAGATAAATCAATAAATGTTTAATGAGTTGTAAATGGCCTGAGTCAGTATTTTGAAAATGTGGGAATACTATACTTATATCAGCAAACATTGGAAGAAAGATTTTATTTAAAGTTTGATAAATAACATTTGTTATATTACTCCTTTTGTTTAAAAATTTAATTCATTATACTTTGCAAATCGCATATGTTGATTGCTCTGTCTAAACCACTGTAACATATATATATTAGTTACTCATAGGTGCACGATCATATCACACAAGCACATATTTTCTCGAAAAGTCTGATTTAAAAATTGTTTGTTGTACTTTTAGCTGTTTTCAATTCAAATGAAAATAAATATGAAAAATTAGGCCTTTGAACTGTGTCCAGCAGACTTTAGTTTTATCTACGTGTCTTTTAATATGCTTAAAAGAATGAAATTAAACATACCACCTGAACTTGATGCATATCCTCCTGGTGCAACATTAACTTTGACCTCATATTCACCCGCCTCTCCGGTTCCAACATCGCAGACTATTTGGGAAGCCGTGGCTGATGTAACTGTACAATTTGCCTCTCCAATCGTTACAACATTATCGGCTGCATCAGTGCTGAAACCACTGCCACTAATGGTGATGGAAGTATTCTCATATCCTGATCCTAAAATTAAACGCACGTCAGCTAATATGATTATAATTACTCTATGATATGGGATTAAACAAGTAAGTCAAAAATGATATGGAATACAATTTACTTCCAATAATATAAACTAATCCAAATAAATGTTGTGCAACTCATCATTTAATATTCTGAGTTTATCCTTTTTGACATCTTGAAAGTTTTTTGTTTATGTTGCAGCATTACCGGTCACAAAACTGTAACAGAAAATTATATATATTCACCTCGAAATTTGGAATAAAGTTTAAATAAATATTTAATTAATAAAACATAACTGTACAATAATAATTAACATTGCATTCAATAATTATGTGGTTAGCGTATCACCAACTCCGTTTCAATCAAATTTTATTACAAATTTTGTAAAATTTCCTCTTTTTTCTCTAATGTTTTCTATCTCGCATTAATATGTAGCAACAGTACACTTGATCAAACTGATTGTGTTGTTGTGATATTAGCAATATACGTATATGATGTCATCAACATAGGTTGTGATATTATCAGTATAATATGTTGAGATAATATCAATGGAGATTTTAAAAAGATTTTAAAAATTGTACTACTGACACTTATTATAGTTACACGTTGAATAATGTATGCCACGCATAACAGTAAGTCCACTCAACAATTATATTATGATAAAATGGTGCGCTTTTTAGGAAGTAGTATAACTATAAATCTTAAGCAGCATTGAATTTCAGTACATTGAACTTGAAAGTTTTACATAATAGGCCTATGTATGATGTAATCGGAAAATCAAAGTTATAAATTAGTTATGTGTTACCTTGATGTGTGTCAATGCCTGATATTATAGCAGTCAGATCTTCATTGTATTGGTAGCCGCAGTTTTCTGATGAACAACTTGAGATGATACCATTGATAACCACCTCAACCTAACAGTTAAAAAATAATCACCATAAATATTACGAACAACTTACAACAGAATACAGCATAAAGAGCTACTATTATAATCCAAATAACAAAATTTAACTATGAAACATACAGTAATATTACCAGCAGCGTGTCCAACTTACTTCCATTGGGGTCCTTGCAAACACAGAAATATAATTGCACATTTTATCATGACAGAAAAAAAACACTTTTATCAAAACAGCTGAAAAATGGCAGCAATAAAAAATTAAATATTGTTTCACCCTAAAACTAACAGTAAAAATACAAATCCAAAAAGAGTTTAAAAGCAATAACAATAACAATTTCAGACTGCACTTATATTATTTATTTACATAAAATTGTTACATAATAAAAAGTTAACATCATTTAAATTATTAAAATCACTTAAAATTTGAAAATACCTAATAAAATAACACTAGGTCATTTGCTCTGAACATGTAGCTTCTAAGAGCTGTTTTAAACAAGTTGATATTAGGAGATGTTTTTTATATCAACCGGTGATTTATTTAAAGCTTTTATAGCGTTTTTAAAAGGAAAGTTTTATTTTCGTGTCCTATGATGATTGGGATACGGTAGTTTTGCGTAGTGGTGCTTCGAGTACAATGGCGATAATGATTTTTAATACCAGTGAAATTATTTCCAAGATAGAATGGGGAAATATTTGTGTGAATTTTATAAACTGTACATAAACTTTTTTTTTAAATTTACATTTAAAAAAGCCAGTTTCGCTGAGTTCATGCTGACCCACATGCGACCTGGGACCTGACTGATTGATGATTCTGATCACTTTATTTTGAGATGTCTTTAATTTACTTTTATTTTTTGAAAGCTTTCATAGAACCACGAGGGAGATGCGTAGTCAAAAGGGCACTCTTCAGAAACAATTGATAGATAATATTATCTGAAGAGTAAAACACCATGTGTGTGGTACGATAAGTAGTAATAAAATGTTAAATCAAAACTAGTGTTCAACCTAATAGTGTAAGTAACTAATCTGGGAAGTGGTCCGAATGCTTGAATGCTATGCAATACAATGGTGGGCGTGGCAACAATGAAAACTTTACCTGTGGAATGGTGTGGGGAGTCCTCATGAAGTCCCCTGGTATAGGTGATAGTGTCACTGCTCCATCTATTTCTGTTATCACGGATGCATCTACCTCATTACCATTTAAATTGGTCATATTTAACTGAAAATGTAGATTGACAATATGCTTACATAAATTGTTTAAGGCGATACGCCTGTTAGGGTTAGGGTTAGGGTTAGGGTTAGGGTTAGGGTTACTTGAAAAATGTTATCAAAACCGTTGAATGTCAATGTTCATCTTATGTCAAGCGTTAACAAAGTAGTCGAAATATTCGCATCAATAAGTCAACATCTTACGTATTTGAGTTTCATTACCGTTACGCTATATT